CCCGTCGTCCGTGGGGTGTCCCGTCGTCCGTGGGGTGTCCCGTCGTCCGTGGGGTGTCCCGTCGTCCGTGGGGTGTCCCGTCGTCCGTGGGGTGTCCCGTCGTCCGTGGGGTGTCCTCGTCGTCCGTGGGGTGTCACCATCCATCTTGGGATGTCCTTGTCCTCTTTGGGGTGTCATTCATGGGGTGTCCTTCTCCACCTTGGGGTGTTCCCGTCCTCCATAGGGTGTCCTTGTCCTTCTTGGCGTGTCCCTGTCCCCCTTGAGGTGTCCCCACCCCCCTTGGAGTGTCCCCGCTGCCCTTGCTATATAATACATTAAATTCACATCTTCAACTGTAAAGCTCTAATCCACCCAAAACCTATTCTTTAGCTTAGTTTTGGATGGAGCAATATTGGGTCAGATCCTCTGTTGGATTTGTCTTGTGATTTGGGAGATTTTCCCTCTCTTCCTGTGTGGTCACTGAGCAAGGAAGTGGGCAAAATCTCTCCCAACAGGGGGGCGCTACTAATACGTATAGAGTGGGGGGAAGGGTGAGAGTCTTAGTGGTTCTTTGTCATCTGTGATCCCCCTTTGGGAAAATCTGCTCATTTCCTGTGTGGTCACCTGGACAGGAAGTGAGGTGCAGTCTCCGTAACGAGGATCTCATCTGCGTTCTAATTAGTTAATTGTTTCCATGGCGACGCAGCCCTCGGAAACACCGATGCGCTCCGCATAGCGAGCACCGCGGCGGTTGTACCTGCCAGGGCTGGCGCCACGGTGACCTTGCAGCTAGATTGCCAGCTCCGCGGGTGCAGGAGGGAGGGAGGCGGCCGTGAGATCTAATTAGCAGATGGGTTGATGAGTGCGGTGGGTGCAGGGCTCGGGTTACAGGCAGAGGAAATGAGGCGCGGTGATCTTTGCGTGCCGAACCTAAAGCCTACCGAGGCTGCCTTCCTGTCAGCTTGCCCGTGAGTCAGCAGAGCCGCTGTGATTGGCCGCCGGCTGCTTTCTCTCCCCCTTGGCCTGCACGGCGAGGATCTCCTGAGACTGCGGAGAGGAGATACAGCCGGAGCTCCTTCTCCTCTTCCCGGCCAAGATGCCACTCTTCTCCGGCTCCTCAACAGCTCCTCGTCGCGGCTCTTCCCTTAGGAACCGATTGGACGTCAGTCGGCTGACCTTCCCCGTGCACCTGTGAAGTCACGCTGCCGGTGTCCTTGCATCCTGGCCAAGGCCTTGTATCTTCTTCCTGCCATCACTGGTCCCATCCGTATCTCCGTTTCCTTCCTCTGGGTGTGTCGGAGGGGATTCGGCGAGTCCACCACTGTCCGGGGAGGAGGGTAGAGCATGGTGGCGTTTTAATGGAATACATCGATTGCTGAGGGGGTGTGAATGCAATGCCTTTTCTTCGCGTGCTTCACCAAGGCGCTGTGGCTGTCACTCTCCTGACATCTGTGGATTAATGAACGTCCCCTTTGGGTCCTCTGGTTCTCTCTGGGGAGCGAAGCGCCATGTGAGGCACCATCGGACGAAGAAGGGCATCTGACGTTGGGGCGAGTTACCGCTAAAGGGACATACGGTTGCCTGGATACTCTCTTGTCACCGGACTATGAGACCTGGACCCCAGCTTTCTGTAGAGTGCAGGTTGCCGACGGGCATTATGGATCTCTTGCCCAAAACCAAGTATAACCATTTGCGCAACGAGTCGGTCAGCTCGGTGGAAGAGGCTCTAGGCGCGGGGATGCCCGTTTCATCCATGGATATCATGCTGGCCGAGTCTTTGCCCAATTCGTCCTCCTCCTCTTCTCTCGCCCCCATGTTGCCCCTGGCTGAGCTGTCCTCTGAGTCGGAGGACAGCCCTACCACCCTATGCTCCTTCTTCCCAAAAATGGCCAATCTGAAGCTCTCTAACCCGGCGAACTTACTAAACCTGCGCAGCTTCTCCTCCGGGGCAGGGAAGGACTCGGGCAGCCCGGGGGAGCTGGCCGACATCAGTGACAGCCTCGACTTAGGGAGGACTTTTACTGTTTTCTCTCAGGATATGAACAAGCTGAGTTGCGGGAGGAAGTCCCGGGTGGAAGGAGGACAACTGGCTGGAGACGAGTGGACACGACATGGCAGCTTCGTCAACAAGCCCACCCGGGGGTGGCTGCACCCGGATGAGAAGGTGATGGGTCCCGGAGTCTTCTACCTCGTCAGGGTAAGGTCTAGTGTTGTGGTGTGTTCATCTCATGCTGGAGTTTTGTTTTTTCCATCTCCTTCTGTATATACACCGCTCTGTCACTACACCTCTATCCTCTCCTGTATATACACCGCTCTGTCACTACACCTCTATCCTCTCCTGTATATACACCGCTCTGTCACTACACCTCTATCCTCTCCTGTATATACACCGCTCTGTCACTACACCTCTATCCTCTCCTGTATATACACCGCTCTGTCACTACACCTCTATCCTCTCTGCAGATAGACCTGTGTTTCAATACAGCTCAGTTTATCTTAAAGTGAAACTCCGGAAAAAATTTTATTACACAGTTGAATTGCCTCTGTATATACACCGCTCTGTCACTACACCTCTATCCTCTCCTGTATATACACCGCTCTGTCACTACACCTCTATCCTCTCCTGTATATACACCGCTCTGTCACTACACCTCTATCCTCTCCTGTATATACACCGCTCTGTCACTACACCTCTATCCTCTCCTGTATATACACCGCTCTGTCACTACACCTCTATCCTCTCCTGTATATACACCGTTCTGTCACTACACCTCTATCCTCTCCTGTACATACACCGCTCTGTCACTACACCTCTATCCTCTCCTGTATATACACCGCTCTGTCACTACACCTCTATCCTCTCCTCTGCCTGTCGTGTGGTTGTATTTTGCTCAGGTTATCTTAAAGTGAAACTCCGGAAAACATTTTATTACACAGTTGAATTGCACATATAACTGTTTTATGTAACAAAAGATTTGCAATGCTGGTCAGCTAGCAGTGTGGTCATTGTTTGTCTTTCCCACAACGCAGCCAGAGAAGGTGACGCTTATTTCCTGATTAGTAATTCAGCTTCCTGGTTCAGCATCAGCATTCTCACCTCTGTCCAATGAGCAGAGGGCTGACCCAGGATGCTGTGATGGTAAAACAGCAATTACCAGAGCTATCTTCAGACTAGTCCAACGGGTCACAGGAATGGTTGGTAAAATTGCCAAATCCTTTCAGCTATAGGATTTGATTGTCTATAGCTGTGTGAAGGAGATCCTCTCCCAATGCAATAACCCATAGGAACTATTTACAGTGCATTTCACATTCATCGTATTCCACTCAGTTTGAGGCTGATCAGGAACCATGCTCTGTACTTTGATTATACATGTACAGATACTCGGCCCCTCTCCAGGCCTAATGTTGTTCTTCCTCTATCCCGATTCTCTCTCTTCCCTCTATCCCGATTCTCTCTCTTCCCTCTATCATCCTCACTCTCCCTCTCTCCCCATTTCTTCCACCTTCTCGCTTTACCCCCTTCTTTCCCTCTATCTTTCCTTTGTGCCCATTCTCTCTCTCTCTCCTCTCCCCTATTTCTCTCTCCTCTCCCCCCTTTCTCTTTTCTCCCTTTCCTCTCTTCCTTTCCCTCTCCCTCTTCTCTCCTCTTCCTCTCTCTCACCAGGCTCCCTCTCCTTTTTTCTTTTCCTCCCTCTCTCCCTTCGCCTCCTCTTCCCCTCTCTCCCTCTCCGCTTTCTCCCTCCCTCTCTCTCCCCCCTCACTCCTTTTCCTCTTCCCATCTCTCTCTTTCTCTTGCTCCTTCTTCCTTTTTTTTATCTTTTCCTCCCCCACCCTTTCTCTCTCATTGGAAGAAATTTGTATCTGGACCATTGAAATGCAACTAAAGCCAAAAATAAAAGATTAAAAAAAGTTTGGATAGAGCGGCGAGGGATTAGAACCCTTGCCAGGTTTTTATTGCCGTCTGTGGGCTACAGAAGCCCTCCTCCCTGTGGTATAAGAGGGAGAATGTAGTACTGTCCTAGGGTGACAACACTGCTCTTTCTGGATACAGAATGGCGGGGGAGCGTTGCCACTCTAGGACAGGAAGTGTGTTGCTGGCAGGATCACCAATTAAAATAAATGTAAAGGAGCCGGAAAAATATAAAAAAATAAAAAGGTTTTGAACCTGAAATTGTCCTTTGTGACTGAATTATTGTTCCTGTGTTCACAGAGAAGCCATCAGCCTGGTGTGCGATGCTGTCCCCGGGGCGAAGGGCGCTCTGCGGAGGAGAAAGGTGAGCGCAGCCGGCCGTGTATGTGTTAAAGGGACTCTGACCCCAGTTTGGTTTTGTGTTGGTGCCCGGTGTGCGTAAGCAGATTAAACTTTTCATGTAACGTAAATTATATGACCAGCCAAAAAAAATTTTTTTTTTTCTTTTAGTCTTGGCGGAATGGAGAAGGATTAGATCAGGGGTGCCCATTAGGTCGATCGCAAAGTGAACACTGGTAGATTGCGATCGGCTGTCTGCTGTCCTCACATCAGGGCCGTAGCAAAACTCTCGCCTCGGGTGCGGGCGGGCGCATTCAGGGCTCAGCCAGCAGGGAGAGGTGGGGCTTCTCCTCTGGATCCCCGCTGCTCTCCCCCATCTGTATGCAGCGTGGATCCGAGGAGAAGTGAAGGAAGCGCTGCAGCCGGCGGTGGGGGGTTGGAGGAGGGAGCCGCTGTCACAGCAGCATGGCTGAGGAGGGAGAGAGAGCCGCTCAGCCAGGATCTGACAGCCAGGGGCTCTCTCTACCCTCACCGCACAACCATACTGCTGTGACAGCGGCTTCGTCCTCTGCCCCCCAAACCCCCTCCCCGCCGGCTGTAGTGCTTCCTTCACTTCTCCTCGGATCCCCGCTGCATACAGATGGGGGGAGAGCAGCGGGGATCCAGAAATAAAGCTTCAGGCTGAGCCCCCTTGTGTGCTTTGCCGAGCAGCGGAGGATCGGTACATATCAGTGATATGTTTCGATCTTCTGTGTGCAGAGCACACGCTAGAGCGATCAGCTGATCACGCCAGTGTTTTGTAAATAATTGGCGTGTAAATCATTACTTTGTGTAGTAGGAGAAGGCTAGATCCCTTGTCAGATTTTTTTATTGCCCTCAGGGTCCCCCTTGTCAGTTTTTTTCCTGACTTCCTGTCTGGTTAAGCCGTTGTCACCAGAACAGGAAGGGTGAATCTCTCTTATGGAGCCCGGCAAAGCCATACAACTCTAATCAGGCGGAAGGAAACGCTGCATCTCTATTGATCGGTCTGATTGTATGTCTCATAGACGGGAGGCCGCGCCCTCAACTCCATCCTGGGGAAGTGTAACTTGAAGTTTGCCGGGATGCCAATCACCCTCACCGTATCGACCAGCAGCCTCAACCTCATGGCCTCCGACTGCAAGCAGGTGAGCCGGGTGCGAAGGGGGTGCACGCTCTCCAACAATGCCAATCTTGTTTATATACAATGTTACTTTGTATCTCTCCATATCCCCCTCTGTACAATTTTACTTTGTATCTCTCCATCTCCCCCTCTGTACAATTTTACTTTGTATCTCTCTATCTCCCTCTGTACAATGTTTATATACAATGTTACTTTGTATCTCCCCTCTGTACAATGTTTATATACAATGTTACTTTGTGTCTCTCTATCTCCCTCTGTACAATGTTTATATACAATGTTACTTTGTGTCTCTCTATCTCCCTCTGTACAATGTTTATATACAATGTTACTTTGTGTCTCTCTATCTCCCTCTGTACAATGTTTATATACAATGTTACTTTGTGTCTCTCTATCTCCCTCTGTACAATGTTTATATACAATGTTACTTTGTATCTCTCTATCTCCCCCTCTGTACAATGTTTATATACAATGTTACTTTGTATCTCTCTATCTCCCCCTCTGTACAATGTTTATATACAATGTTACTTTGTATCTCTCTATCTCCCTCTGTACAATGTTACTTTGTATCTCTCTATCTCCCTCTGTACAATGTTACTTTGTATCTCTCTATCTCCCTTTGTACAATGTTTATATACAATGTTTTTGTATCGTATTCCCAGTGTCCAGAATTGGTTAATAATAATAATCGTTCTCATTCCTGCAGATCATCGCAAATCATCACATGCAGTCGATATCTTTCGCCTCCGGGGGAGATCCGGTGAGTGCGTGCTTGTGTACACAGATGCCTATGTTCAGGGGTGCCAACCTAAAATACACTATAGAGCCAAAGGCCTGTGGGCATCTGACCATCTCAATCATGTGAGCTTTTTGGACATCCTATTCCAGAGGTTTATAACATCCTGGGAAGGGTTTGGAGGGTGTCTGTGGGAATTTCTGCCCATGTGTAAGCTCAGGTACTGATATTGGATGAGAAAACCTGGCTCATAATATGTGTTCAAGTTCATCCCAAAGGGGTTCCGTAGGGTTGAGGTCAGGGCTCTGTGCAGGTCAGTTGAGTTCCTTCAGACCAAACTGGTCCAACAATTGGGGGACCTATCAAAACTGGAGGAGACAAAATCTGGAGCAGATTTGCACTGCAGCCAATCAGCATCTCTCTTTCATTTTCAAATCTTTTACCTGAGCAAACTGAAGAGAGATGCTGATTGGTTGCCATGGGCAACTGCTCCAGTTTTGATAAATTCCCCCCAATGTCTTTAAGGAGCTGGCTTTGCACACAGAGGACCTTTGTGGTGAAACAGGAGGGTCTTCACCAAACTGTTACCACAAGCCTGGAGGAAGACAGAAATTGTCTTTGTATGATGTACTATTAACCCCTTCACGACCCATGGCAGGATAATTCCACCATGAATCCTCAAAGGGTTAATTAGACTCGGCCGGGACTCATACTTGTAGAGCTGGCGACCGGCTTTACAGTAGAAGCGATTCTGGCAACTCAGCTGTCGCCAGATCGTTTCTACGATCCGGTAAAGTGACTGCCCACCCGTCTTTCCTGGGCTCTGCTGCGCCTTCTACGGGCCCGGGACCAGCTTGTCGGGTGCCAGCAGGAAGCTGGGGAGGCCAGGGAACACCCCCTGCCGTGTTTCCTGGGCTCCGCTGCGCCTCCTACGGGACCAGCTTGTCGGGTGCCAGCAGGAAGCTGGGAAGGCCAATGAACACCCCCTGCCGTGTTTCCTGGGCTCCGCTGCGCCTCCTACGGGCCCGGGACCAGCTTGTCGGGTGCCAGCAGGAAGCTGGGGAGGCCAGGGAACACCCCCTGCTTTTCCTGCACTCCGCTGCTCCTCCTACGGGCCCGGGACCAGCTTGTCGGGTGCCAGCAGGAAGCTGGGGAGGCCAGGCAACACCCCCTGCCGTGTTTCCTGGGCTTCGCTGCTCCTCCTACGGGCCCAGGACCAGCTTGTCGGGTGCCAGCAGGAAGCTGGGGAGGCCAGGGAACACCCCCTGCCGTGTTTCCTGGGCTCCGCTGCTCCTCCTATGGGCCCGGGACCAGCTTGTCGGGTGCCAGCAGGAAGCCGGGGAGGCCAGGGAACACCCCCTGCCGTGTTTCCTGGGCTCCGCTGCTTCTCCTATGGGCCCGGGACCAGCTTGTTGGGTGCCAGCAGGAAGCCGGGGAGGCCAGGGAATAGCCCCTGACCTGTTTCCTGGGCTCCGCTGCGCCTCCTACGGGCCCGGGACCAGCTTGTCGGGTGCCAGCAGGAAGCTGGGGAGGCCAGGAAACACCCCCTGCCGTGTTTCCTGGGCT